GAAGACTAGGCCTCACTAAAAATGAGGTCAACAGCGGGGTCTGAAGAATCTCTCTCCCCCATGCTAGGAGGTTCCAAAGATGGGGGAGCTACAAGTTGGGACTGAATGGTTGACATATTGCCTGCGGGGAAAGTGACGTCTTCTGGGGTATCCTTCTGATGATTAATAGTGTCAAAAACTTGGAGCTGATCAAGAGGAGATGGAATCACAGGAATCACAACTTCTAGTGGAGCAGTTTGCTTTTTTGGTCCGAGTTGGGGTGTAGATGGTGACATTGAGAACTGGAGTGTCCAAACATACGATATGACAATTCGAACAATACGGCGGAAAAGACTCAATCTCTACCTTCTGCCAATATCTTTGGTATTGTGTCCAACCTGATTTTCTCAGAAGCGGGTGAAGTGATGTCTCTTTCAACAAGTACTCTGGCTTAAGATGCACGGGAAAGATTAAATGTAGGAATGTCTGTCTTAAGTGGCTTTCCATAAGCTAAAACAATAGAATCAATACTTTTTGAAAAAAATAATGAAATTTCGGACCAGGGAGACGAATCCAAACCGGAATGATTGGTGGCTCCATTTGTAGGTCAAAATTCGCAGACCATTTCAGAATCTTCATTGCTCTGTTATTAATTCATATTATCCTTCTAGCAAATAAGCGTATGTAATCATATTCATTACTAATTTGAATAAAAATGTGTCTCCCATCTAATAGTCTAATTTTTCACTCTCTAACAAGGTGCATAAGTTCAAATTCTTTGCGAATGAGCTCCATTTTGGGATGACCATATAGAAATTTCTCAACCAAATTCAAACGACAGAAGGAAGCAAGTTGAATACCTTCAGCTTCTGTAAAAAATATGACAGTTTTCGCATTCTACCTAACAGGTTTCTTGATGTCTTCCATCCACTCAAACAAAGGAGGGAAAGATGGCAATTTAGTTGTGTCTGAGGCGTGGACACCCGCAAGGGCAGCTACATACAATTTGTCTGAAACCATCATCAAAGGTAGGCCTTCAGAGAAGAAAGCAGCTCTGCTCTGATAAATGTGGGGAAAAAGCTTCAAAAGAAAGAAGAGAGGACGCTGTGAGATGGGACGAGCACAGAGAAGCCGTAGAAATCGCGAGTTGCGTCCGCGAGAGGGAGTCGCAGAGCGAGGAAAGACGTGAGATGGGCCGCAGAGGAGCCGCAGAGCGAGGAAAGATGTTAAACGGGCCGCAGAGCGAGAAAAACGCGAGACGGGCCACAAAGCCAGGAAAGACATGAGACGAGACGCGTCTCAGAGCCAAAGAAGAAATGGGGAAGACGAACGGAATCGAGCGCGAAGACGAGTGAAACCGTAACTATTGCTAGGGTAACCATTGGGCGAAACCCTAGCAGAACCGAGCGTGTTAGAAGATGACGCCATGTATGACACACACACACACACACACACACACACACACACATATACATATATATAATATATATATGAATGGCGGCTTTCTCTATGGTTTCCTTTGGCGATCGCGCGGGCGATAATGGCGTTTTCATTCCTTCGCATCCTTTCTGGTGAGATCTTCTCTTTTCTCCATTTTGTTTCTGCATCTTTTGGTTTTAGGGCTGGTCTCTGGTAAAAGT